ACAGCCCCGTACAACAACGATGCGTATAGCCACCTGAGATTCAAGCTCCCGGCAGCAGCTTCATCCTCCCCACCAGTCATGGCTAGTTCGTTGGGTAACTTGGCTAAGTTGCATGCTAGGCATCTGGCAATATAATTTCCTCGCCTGACAAAGTTAGTAATCTTCTGCTTGAGTGTCCCAGCTGTGCTCATTAGCAATTAGCCTCTGCGTTGTGGGCGGAGCCAGCGCTGCGGTAAATTATGAAAGCTAATACCAATATCTCTCTTCTTAGCACTGCAACCCACTACAGCACACAGGTGTTGATCCGCCATTGTCTTCTCTACTCCTCATAACCTGAGCGGAGTGGGGCAGGAGCTTGTGGCCCCCCAGAGTTATTACATCACAACTCCAGTCTGTTTTAGGCTGCCTTTTAGTGACTGCCATTGGTTCACAGCCATTTGAATGCAGAAATACTCAAAAATGCAATTTTGAGCTTAATTTCTAAATGTCCTCTAGCTTTAGAAAAATGCCACAAGAACATGTTAACAACACGAAAAACATGATTATCATCGGAGTGGGTCTTTAAAGCTCATTTGCACAATACATTATTTAACTAGTCTCTCTATTTGTTGTTATACGTTTGTTATATTGCTTTCTGTGTCCTATATTTATTTGTAAATCAGGAATACTTTCCGTTTTTTATATTGCTATTTAATATTTAGTTTCATGCCTTGCTGCGGCTACAATGTATTTTCCAGTTGTGGATCAGTATAGTACCGTCTGTCTATGTCAAAAGTCTGAGTTGCATGATGTTCTTACGCTTCACTGGTGTTACCTGCACTAAATGGTACACGGCACTCTCAGTTTAAAGGAGTCATAACTTAGTATTACCTTGGATACCCACGCTCTATTATAGCCTTTCAGGCCTTCTAAAAAGAAAAGTGGAGAGCTCCTCTGACCCTTATTTCTGAAGGCATTATTGTCTCGCGAGATCTGATGTGATATTTTGGCTGTCATGGATGGTCATTTTAATAATGCAAAGGGGCGCGTTGATTGGTGGCAGGAAGGAGGGGGTTGACACCGCACGTAACTTCAGCATATCATTCCAAAATGACATCATGGCGCAAGTTGTAAATGCACCCGACCTGGCTGCGACCTACGGAATTCAACCGTACATGCACGAGCCAGACTCTGAATCTGAGCTGGAAAGGGAAGATGTAGAGTCGATGGAAGGACGTCTACATCAAGATGTCTCTGAATGGTAAAAACAATCATTTGACTGAGACATTCATTATACCTTTTATTTAATGTAGATTACATTAACGGAGATGTAGTCTACTTTTTTTTATCAGCTTACAGTTGTTATTGAGATCAATCATGTGGTGTTTTCGCCTTGTTTCACGTTGTGGTTTTTTAGACATTCAAATTTGTGAACGATTCCGGTGTAAAATGATTAGCACAGACACCTAACGTTAAGCCAGTGGAAGGGTTGTAGGAACCGCGTCATTAAAAATGAATTTAATCCACTGGTCCCTGACAGCTTGGTCCGTTCTTGGGAGAGAAAACCATTTAAGTTACATGTTGATTCTGGCAGTCAACAACAGAGCAACTCACGTGTGCACTACGTTTCTGCATCTTTCGCGACTGAATATGAGGGGAGAGGGGCAGGGCGGGCTTCCTGCAGCATAGGTGTCCATATATGGTATTTCCTGCCCGTCTTGACGTCAAGTCGGGGCAGAAATTAAAATCTCGTATTTGAGTGCGCATGCACGTGGGCTGGTTGACGAACCCAGGGGTAAACAAACGCTTCACTTTTAAATCGGCTTCCCGGCCAGTGTATAATCGTTAGGCAATCATAACATACAGTAGCCGTGTTTCCACTGTCGGGCCAGAGCCGGGCCGTGCTAGTTCACCCCTAGCGTGTTTTAGTGAAGCGCTGTGGAGCTTCTGGCCAGACAGTGGAAACGCAACAGCTGGTTTTGAGCCCGGTGCTCCTGGCCCGAGGCCATTAGCCCGGCTCGGCCCAGTTTAAAGCCCTGGCTCGCACTGGCCCGACAGTGGAAACGCGGCTATTGATTCTCGTGGAAAAGTGAAATTAGACAGCATAGACAGGACCTCAATGATGCATTGATGTGGATGGGTCTGCATCAAAAACATTTTTTGGCCACAAAGTCTGATCAAAAAAGCACTTTACCTGTAGAGTGTGTATCACAACTGGGAGAGTGCTGAGCATTGTCTGCAGGTAATACACTGACTAGACGCAAGAACATCAACCTCACTTTGAAAATACTGTAGTATCTGTTTTGAGTCCCAGAATGAAATGTTTATTATATATTATTGTAGGAAGAGGAGTGTTTGCCACACAACCCATTGAACCGGGGACTTCGTGTTGGAGTACAGGGGTAAACTCCTCACACAGGAGGAATGCAAGTCAAGAAAATACTCAGAGATTGAAAGCACATTTCTCTTTGACTTTCAGTGGCAGAATCATCACTTATGGTAAACATTGAAAGATGGATGTTTGTATTGATTTAGCGAAATTACGAGTTAACCCTGAAACAAGGGTTTAATACTTGATGAATGAGTTAAGCAAAAATACTCTTAAATTCTTTTGAAAATAACTCTTTCAATAAAACTTTTAAAAAGATGTAAAACTATTACCATTTTTTGATACTTTTCAGCTGGATGCATCTGAAGAAGATTTATCTCTCGGAAGATTGGTCAATGACAACCACCAAAATCCAAATTGCGTTATGAAAAAAATCATAGTTGACAACAAACCACATTTGTGCCTTTTTTCTCTGAAGAAAATAGAAATAGGAGATGAAATTGATTACAACTATGGTGATTCAAAATGGCCTTGGCGCTGTAAGGTGAGTTGGTTAGATTAAGTATAGAGATTTCTTTTTTTAAATTTTTTGTTGCAAAAGAAAATTTTGTATTTCTCCAAAATTAACCATGTTTCCAATATTACTCTTGACTGTCTATGGAAATGCATTTAATCTTTGATCTGTGATGTGTGTTAAAATGAGTTCTTCTTTATCTGCAATCCAGTTGAAAAAAACCAAGCTCCAGCCGCAGCAGAAGAGAATGAGACCAGCCCTGTTCCTCAGATGCTGAATGATAGACCTAACCCAGATCAGACCTGCACACAGGTAAAAGTACATTCAAACACATTCATCTATGCTGACATGTATCCATGACCTATCCTAACCCTATCCATGATCCACTGCAAACTCTTGGAATAGACGTGAGCAGCTTTTTAGTCCATGCTCTCAGTTAAAGTTCAGTGCTGTTTCACCATTAGATGACCTTATTAGCCTGTGAATGTCTCTTCATACAGTTCTGAGTCTCTTCTTGTCTGTCTATTTCAGGTGAAAGGCCTTCAGACTCCTGCTGCAGCAGAAGAGAATGAGACCAGCCCTGTTCCTCAGATGCTTAATGATAGACCTAACCCAGATCAGACCTGCACACAGGTAAAAGTACATTCAAACACATTCATCTATGCTGACATGTATGTGGTGGTGTTCTATTACTAAAGTGGACCAATGCTTATGTGGCTTTATATTGGCTGTTAAAGGCCAGGTAATGTCACACACACCGGCATGTTTCCAGTCATGTTCTTATGGGGTCCTTCCATCTTCCAAATACATTTGTTTCTCAAGTCCCTCCTTTACACACTCGTATGTCTGTAGTCTGACCCATGTGGGGCCCTTCCGTCCAGTTCTTACGGTAATTGTTTTTAATGCACTGTGGCAACACCTGACATGACCTCAACTGTGATTTTAACATTCGTAATTGTATACTGTGTCTGAGCTGTTAGATGTTTTAAAGCAATATTTTGATTTGATCCACTGCAAACTCTTGGAATAGACGTGAGCAGCTTTTTAGTCCATGCTCTCAGTTAAAGTTCAGTGCTGTTTCACCATTAGATGACCTTATTAGCCTGTGAATGTCTCTTCATACAGTTCTGAGTCTCTTCTTGTCTGTCTATTTCAGGTGAAAGGCCTTCAGACTCCTGCTGCAGCAGAAGAGAATGAGACCAGCCCTGTTCCTCAGATGCTTAATGATAGACCTAACCCAGATCAGACCTGCACACAGGTAAAAGTACATTCAAACACATTCATCTATGCTGACATGTATGTGGTGGTGTTCTATTACTAAAGTGGACCAATGCTTATGTGGCTTTATATTGGCTGTTAAAGGCCAGGTAATGTCACACACACCGGCATGTTTCCAGTCATGTTCTTATGGGGTCCTTCCATCTTCCAAATACATTTGTTTCTCAAGTCCCTCCTTTACACACTCGTATGTCTGTAGTCTGACCCATGTGGGGCCCTTCCGTCCAGTTCTTACGGTAATTGTTTTTAATGCACTGTGGCAACACCTGACATGACCTCAACTGTGATTTTAACATTCGTAATTGTATACTGTGTCTGAGCTGTTAGATGTTTTAAAGCAATATTTTGATTTGATCCACTGCAAACTCTTGGAATAGACGTGAGCAGCTTTTTAGTCCATGCTCTCAGTTAAAGTTCAGTGCTGTTTCACCATTAGATGACCTTATTAGCCTGTGAATGTCTCTTCATACAGTTCTGAGTCTCTTCTTGTCTGTCTATTTCAGGTGAAAGGCCTTCAGACTCCTGCTGCAGCAGAAGAGAATGAGACCAGCCCTGTTCCTCAGATGCTTAATGATAGACCTAACCCAGATCAGACCTGCACACAGGTAAAAGTACATTCAAACACATTCATCTATGCTGACATGTATGTGGTGGTGTTCTATTACTAAAGTGGACCAATGCTTATGTGGCTTTATATTGGCTGTTAAAGGCCAGGTAATGTCACACACACCGGCATGTTTCCAGTCATGTTCTTATGGGGTCCTTCCATCTTCCAAATACATTTGTTTCTCAAGTCCCTCCTTTACACACTCGTATGTCTGTAGTCTGACCCATGTGGGGCCCTTCCGTCCAGTTCTTACGGTAATTGTTTTTAATGCACTGTGGCAACACCTGACATGACCTCAACTGTGATTTTAACATTCGTAATTGTATACTGTGTCTGAGCTGTTAGATGTTTTAAAGCAATATTTTGATTTGATCCACTGCAAACTCTTGGAATAGACGTGAGCAGCTTTTTAGTCCATGCTCTCAGTTAAAGTTCAGTGCTGTTTCACCATTAGATGACCTTATTAGCCTGTGAATGTCTCTTCATACAGTTCTGAGTCTCTTCTTGTCTGTCTATTTCAGGTGAAAGGCCTTCAGACTCCTGCTGCAGCAGAAGAGAATGAGACCAGCCCTGTTCCTCAGATGCTTAATGATAGACCTAACCCAGATCAGACCTGCACACAGGTAAAAGTACATTCAAACACATTCATCTATGCTGACATGTATGTGGTGGTGTTCTATTACTAAAGTGGACCAATGCTTATGTGGCTTTATATTGGCTGTTAAAGGCCAGGTAATGTCACACACACCGGCATGTTTCCAGTCATGTTCTTATGGGGTCCTTCCATCTTCCAAATACATTTGTTTCTCAAGTCCCTCCTTTACACACTCGTATGTCTGTAGTCTGACCCATGTGGGGCCCTTCCGTCCAGTTCTTACGGTAATTGTTTTTAATGCACTGTGGCAACACCTGACATGACCTCAACTGTGATTTTAACATGCGTAATTGTATACTGTGTCTGAGCTGTTAGATGTTTTAAAGCAATATTTTGATTTGATCCACTGCAAACTCTTGGAATAGACGTGAGCAGCTTTTTAGTCCATGCTCTCAGTTAAAGTTCAGTGCTGTTTCACCATTAGATGACCTTATTAGCCTGTGAATGTCTCTTCATACAGTTCTGAGTCTCTTCTTGTCTGTCTATTTCAGGTGAAAGGCCTTCAGACTCCTGCTGCAGCAGAAGAGAATGAGACCAGCCCTGTTCCTCAGATGCTTAATGATAGACCTAACCCAGATCAGACCTGCACACAGGTAAAAGTACATTCAAACACATTCATCTATGCTGACATGTATGTGGTGGTGTTCTATTACTAAAGTGGACCAATGCTTATGTGGCTTTATATTGGCTGTTAAAGGCCAGGTAATGTCACACACACCGGCATGTTTCCAGTCATGTTCTTATGGGGTCCTTCCATCTTCCAAATACATTTGTTTCTCAAGTCCCTCCTTTACACACTCGTATGTCTGTAGTCTGACCCATGTGGGGCCCTTCCGTCCAGTTCTTACGGTAATTGTTTTTAATGCACTGTGGCAACACCTGACATGACCTCAACTGTGATTTTAACATTCGTAATTGTATACTGTGTCTGAGCTGTTAGATGTTTTAAAGCAATATTTTTGATTTGAATTTTGATGTTAAATATTTTGATTTGATGCACTGAAAACCCCTGTAATGGTCAATTGGACCATGGACCAATGCTCACGGGGCTTTAAAGTAGTCAGGTGACCTTTATTGGGTTGTAAAGGCCAGGTAATGTAACACACACTGGCATCTTTCCAGTCCCATTCTTGTGGGGCACCTTTTAATGCATTATGGTAACATCTGGGGAGGAAAAAGAAGAAAATCTGCATACTGGGTTAAAGCTCACAGTTACCTTTTTTATTGACTAAAAAACAAAGGTTTCGATCCAAATGGTCTTCCTCAGGCAACTATATGATAGTATTGTAATACTATAGTATAGCTGTACTCTGATTTTAACATTTATAATTGTACACTGTCTAAAAGGGCTGATGTTCACATTTCTGGATTTAGATTTTTAGTCAGACCATGCCATGTTTCTTTGGCCAACCTTTCTAATTCCATACTTAATGAATTTTTGTTTATTTTTAGGTATTTACTGTCCAAGGATTTTCACTGGTTGATTATCCAGATAGTGATGAAACTGATGAGGATGGTATGGAAAACGAACCTCCCACCCCACACCTGGATGTTATTATAGGGCAGAATGATATTGGCCCAGATTTTTCAGATCATTTGTACGATTCAGATGAAACTGTTGTGAAAGAAACTTGTGATGAGGCTTCTCCAAGCAACCATTCCAACAATCAATCGGATGATGAACTTGTTCCACCACTGAGACGCACAAAAAGCATTCTGGTAAGCCCCAAAACACATTTTAACAATATAATTGTTTATGTGATAAATTTTTTGCCACTAGTAAGCGAATTTGAATTTTATATTTGAATGGGAATCATTTACTTTGAACCTGAATCGATTGTTTTGAACAATTGCTTTTAAAATCTGAATTTAAATGGATTCATTTGAAATTGAATCTATTGGATTGGCATAAACACCTGCAGGAGTGATGTCCAGTGATCAGCGCTCAGGTGTGTGCTTAAAAAAAAAAAAAAAAAGATACAACGTGCCCAGTGATGTAGGCTACTGGTCAGCCAGCATACCGGGACAAACCCCGGTAGGGCCGGTCTCTGTTGCCAAAATCCGGTCGAGTCCTCGTCCTCGCTGGTGCATTAATTATCAATTAAATAGAGATCACCAACAATCAATCAGTAATCATTTATTAGAGAAGCTCAACTCTCTCTCTTTTCTGACTGATTAAATTATTGACTAATCTCATATATAACATATTGCTACCCTGTCTACTGTTCTGAACCTCAAAACCACTGAGCTCGACCAGTTGGCAGACTTCCTTGGTCATAATATCGCTGTTCACAGGAAACACTACAGGCTCCCAGAAAGCACCCTCCAATTAGCCAAAGTAAGTAAAGTCCTCCTGGCAATGGAACAAGGACGCCTAGGAGATTACAAAGGAAAGAGCCTCGATGAAATACAAGTCGATGTGAATGGTAATTAACTTTATATTCTTGAAGGCACAATATATGACATTTAGTCTTCCGCATTCAGAAAACAACTATTTACCATGTAAAACATAGGGCAGTAATGGTGACGGGATGAGAGATAATGCTACTGTTGTATACTCTTGCAGATTGCCCATAGTTTCAGCTTTCCAAACTCAATTTTTTATCAATTATCATTTTAGAGACCATTGACATGGAGGGACCTTTAGCAGAGGACATTGAAGGTATGTGTATACGATGTTCCTAAATTGATTTTTAAATGATCCGTTTTAGATATTTTGTGTATTGTATTAAGTTATTTCCCTCTCCAGATGTCAGTATGCTAAGAGATGATGGGTCAGACGATGAGGTCAGCATGTCATCCACGCAAGAATGTACCTCCACATCACAAAGTCAAAACCAGGGAGTGTCTGCAACCGGTGAGCTTGAACGCAATTCTTACCTTTCGTGCATTTCACACAGCACGTGGCAAAAATTTCAACATCAACAACTCCACCTCCCTTCTTTGTCCCACCCACCTCTTTCTCCTGCAACTCTGTCAGGAGACCTGTATGATGCAGAGGCTGCACAATCAGTCAAACACAACCCCAGTTTTAAAACTGAACACTGCGTCAGTACTGCCTGAAATTACAAGTAGCATTAACTTTGAGGTTAGCGGGAACCCACCTATTGCTTATAGGTTGCTCTAATCTCTCGGCACAGACTTCATACAGGGATAGCACAGCTACTCCAACACGTCCCTGTCACTACAGAACATCTGGAATGTGCGCGATAAGGTGATGCAGGACAATTCCCTGAGCACATTATCCAAGTCTGCTTCATGGCAGCAAACAGACTCCACGGTTGATCGCAGTGACCGCACTTGCACTGCAAAGGGTTGCCGACCCTCTCCTCACTGTCATCTCCGTCCGGAGCTGCTGCAGCTCCCTCAACCAAAAACGGGTCTCTCAACCCTCCTCCTCATCACTGGCTCAAACGCATATGCCATCGGGTTAGATGACATCTAATAAACTCATACAGCCTTGTCGTTAATTCTACTTGTAATGTCAGTAACAACAGTCGCTTTCTGTCTGATGAAATCAGTTCATCTTATATTGTCCAACATACAATCTTTTCGGCGCACAGCTACTTCAGCACTAGTGGACTGCGTGGGACGGTCTGTCGTCCATACACTATATGAGGAAATATACTGCTTGAGGGCCACTATCCTTTAGGTTTTAGATGTTTCCCTGCTGCAACACACCTGATTCATTGTGCAGAGCTTGGCAACAAGCTGTTTGATCTATTTAATTTGAATCAGGTGTGTTGAAGCAGGGAAACATTTCAGACCTGCAGAATAGTGGCCCTTGAGGACTGGAGTTGCCCATCCCTGGGCTAACATGACAACTAATATTTTCACGTCACTAGTCACTTGAAAAGAATTTAGGACTATAGGAGACGGGATGAAATAAACTGTCTCTCTTTAAGAGACACAAATCCCATATACTGACTTCTTATTAAGTGCCTTGAGACGACATCTGTTGTGAATCAGCGCTATATAAATAAACTGAATAGAAAATTGAATTGAATATACTAAATTATTTTATAAAATAACACAACCACTGCACTGACGGCTATTACATATTTCATGTAGTGTATACTACAATAAAGTTATTTGTTTGTCCAGATGTCAGTATGCCAAGAGAAGAGGGGTCAGAAGATGAGGTCAGCATGTCATCCCTGCAAGAATGTCCAAAACCGGAGTGTGTCTGCAAAAAAGAGAGGTAAGCTTTGGGGCTTGCACTCTCTTTTGGGCCAGAGCTGCTCATTTATTTTTAAGGGCTTTTACTTTGCTTCCTTGACTCAACACTTGAAATATGTCTGTCCCTCCTTACTGTCCGGTGCCACAAGCCTGACAGTGACTTGAAAGAAGCTGTTGCAGGAACAGACCTTGTGAGCCTGCATTGTCGCAGGTTGTAGGGTTGGGGAAAGACTGGCATTATCACCTTTATATCAATAAGAAGTCTGTTGTATTTAAAAAAAAAAAATCTTTAACACTTTATGGACTTACTCAGGAAAAATGCTTGCATTTCCTCCAACAACGGAGGTGTACAGTGACCAGTTGAAACACTCGAACAACCTATAATCACCTTAAATACCTCCTAACTGCTAGTGTTCCTTCATCCAAGTCTCATTAAGCCTCCACATGCAGCTGACTTTATTAAATGACCTTTTAAAAGTGCCTTATAAATAGAATATATTATCATTATTATTGTTTTTATTATTATTTTGTGAAATGCAAAAAAGAATAAAATTGCTTTAAGTGAGAGAGTGTGTGTTTATACTCGAGTGTAGGGTAAAAGCATCCTGTTGCAGTTTCTTTTCCAGAATTATAATGTAATGCCGTCAGCAACACACAAAGAAAAAAGAATGCAATCAAAACCGTTAACTATAAATAAAGTTAAAAAGCAAAACTAAACGGAATGCATCTGAGCAGGCACTCCTCCGTTGCTTTCTGCCTTTCTTTCACCCGTTGCAGCTCTTCCTTCAGCCAGTTGTCGGTCGTTCTCATGGTGGTTTTGGCAAAAGAGGGAGCACGGGGCTTGGAGAAGCTGGCAGCACAGGGGGGCTGGGGTTTTTCCACCGCTTCATGCACTCTTTCAGCAACGAGACCAAAACATCCGGAGACTTGTGATCACTCTGGCCAATTACAAGAGAGTACATCCACGTAGCTGCGTTTGCGTAGCTGGGCAGCACGTCAGGTCCGAAGAGGTGCCCATCAAGCTGCATAATTAAGGATTAATTTGCAGTGTTTTTGTTTTTACCAAACCAGTGTATAAAATGAATAATAATCTCAGTCATGTTATTATGAAGAGTTGTTTATTCCAACAAATAAGATCTTTATTTATTTACATTGTTAACAGTGCAATGTCTGCAGTGTTCTCTCGCTCTCCACTGAAATTTATGTGCTCAGTGTGAAGTCCACCTTTACTTATAGTGGTAATCCCAGAAACAGTTCCTGTCCTCTGAAAAACAGAGGCGGACATCACACTTACTGCATTGGGTATTGGTGTACCCTTTACTGCAATGTCTGCAGTGTCCTCTCTTTGTCTTCAGGGGGAAACGTCCAGTTTGGTCCATGCGCGCATCCATGGGCGGTGGTTTGCGTGACTTTTTAGAAGAGGGAGCCTTTGGACTTCCATCATCCATGTGTGGTCTCTTTCCACTATTCAGAGGGCTCCTGTCTCTGGGCTCTTGTTGATTGAAGATGGCCGTCCTCTCTTTGGCGTTTTCAGTGTTGTGTCCGCCAGATTAGAATATAAATGTATCAATTTATGTACATCTCAAATTCCAGTCTGATTTATCACAAACAAGGTAAATAGCACAAATAGATCATTACCGTAATGAGAGAGGAAGCCAGCTGTGCTTGGAACTTTCTCATATTCAGTATCTCCTTTGGCATCCTGAGAGCATAGGCTGTGCTGCTTGTAGAGGAGCCAGGCGTTGACCACAGCAAGGGTGATTGTGTGCCAGAAGATGTACATGTACCACCACCAGGATTTCAGTGCATACTTGTGTTTTGCTGTAAATGAGTCCAACAAATCCACACCTCCCATGTATTTATTGTAGATGCCCACAATGGAAGCCTTTCTAACGTCAATGTAGGTTTTGGTGGTTTTGTCCCAGTGTTGAATCTCCTGAACAGGTTCTGGTCCAGCGAAGTGTCACCGCCCTGTTGTCGTACCATTTGACAGCACAGATGTTGTTTCCCCTCCACTCTGTGGTCAAAGCTTCCTCTGCCCTTCTTCTTCAAGCTCTTCACATGTAAAGATTACAGTTGGGGAGATGCACTTGCCTGGCTGTTCCCACATAATGGATTCCTTGCTCAAGGAGCTTCACTACCAGTGGTACGGAGGTGAAGTAGTTGTCTGCCTAGATCTTCTTGTGTTGACCCTTTGGAAATGTGGAGGCAAGCTTCATTACAACATCACCTGACAATCCAAGTTTAGATTTGACTCGTACATCATTGTTGCTCCCTTGGTAAACATCAAAGTCAAGCATCATGCTAGAGATTCCAGCTTTCACCCATACTTTAAAGCCCCATGAGCATAGATTACCTTGCATATACTTCTTGATGCTGCTAAACTTCCCGTTGAATGGTATCATCATCTTGTCCATGGAATGTGCTCTTCTGGTACCACCTGCAGGCAGTTTTCTCTGAGTGAATGAAGCCGTGGTCTGAGTTTCCAGAGTTTGTCCCTCTTTTCAGTCTCTGGCACGGTTAAATTGTTTACAAAATGTAATGTTCCATCCTCAGGTACATGCCCAATGCTGCCTGTATTTCTTTTGTATTAGTGTTGACTGATCTTTCATCATTTTGAATGCTATACTCATTCGTATTTGTTGCCAGAGCTTGAACCAAATCTTCTGACAAAAACTTTTGGAAGTATTGCAGTGGTGTGTGGAGGGAGGTGACATCATCTGTGAGAGCTTGACCAGAAAAATCAGTGACGTCTGTCATGTGGCATGATGTATTTCTTTGATTGCCCGGGCTCAATATTCACATTAGCTGGACAATTGGTAGGTTCTTGGTTTTCTTTGTCCACAGAGACATCAATATCTGATTCTTCATCACTCGCATCAGTGTCGTCAAAATCTATGTCCACATCACTTTCTCCGTTTTGGATGATGGCAATTACATTGTGCACATTGTACCAAGGATTTCTCCTGCTGGTGGCATTCTGAAATGGAAAAGATAAAATTGAAACAAATTTCCATTGTATTTACAAATAGCACACATGCCTCATTATGACGTGTTCACACTTTGGACTGAAGCAGCCTATTCACACATCTTACCGGTCACGCTATACCCTAATGACTCACCTATAGTAGACTGTGATTGTAATCCTTACTGGAATGCATTCAGCGTCCAGTTTACAACAAAAACTAACAGTGATGAACATTTACACCTGTGTCAGAACAAAGCACCAGGAGCATCCCGCACAACTTGGAGGATTGGCCAGGTGTGGCCAGGTGTCTCTTGCAAAAGAGATCTTGGATCTCAATGGGACAGACCTGGTTAAATAAAGGTTATAGGCCTAATGATAATAAGCTCTTTGACTATAAATTGATAAGAACATTTTGTTTATCAGTAGACTAAGAAAAGGCAGATTTGCACAAACAGAATTTCTTTGTTAGAAAGTCCTGCAGAATGTGATAGCAAATTATAATGTTTAGATATGGCAATATATCTTTCAACTTTAGTCTCTAATACAGTATAGAATATGTAATCCGATATAAAGCTAAAGGGTTGTTTAAATCCTGTATAATTTGTTGTGAACATTTTCATTTAAGTTCCCCTCAAGATGTTCCTTAGCCTGGGAAAACCCAGACAACTTCCGGGAAATTTAGATTTGCTCTGAAAGTTAGTCTGGCAAAGAGCTCATTCAAGTTCATTTCCAATCCACCGAAATCGCGGCACCAATCAGAAACATTGGGGCGGGCTTTACACGATGACGACAGCGCTGGGATTTTGAAGCAGATTTTGTAGCCTACATTACAAAGATGGATGCCGCCGTCGAACATCACTCGTTCGGATCAGCTATCCCGTCTGTTTGAACGTTTCCTTTTTGTTAAAAACCGAGCAAAGAACAACACTCGGAGATGTTTCTCTGCCGGCCGCCGCTCTGCATACGTCATCTCCTTCATCGCTCTGATTGGTTTTAGGCCTACCCGCGACGTCCGTTGGAGGACGCCCCTCTGGAAATGATTTGTCTATGACGCTTTGCCAGACCATAACTCAGTTACAACTGAGAATGGTCTGGTTTTAACCAGGCTAGATGTTCCTCTTAAATACAGGGCAATTATGACTGCCACTCTCATCCAACATTGTAATATCGCAACACTTATAAAACAAGCTCTAAACAAAATGTAGGGCATATTTTCAACATTTACTGTACATGTCCTTGTTCTAGACACTGTAATAAACACAGAAAAACATATTCCAAGCATTTTACTTACTTCAAGATGAATCCAGTCCAGTAAATCAAAGGGATGTTGCTTGATCAGAAAGTTGTAGGATGTGTCACTTCTTGACTTAAGGGGGGTGGGCTTTGTATACAAATCCTGGATCCAATTACATGGTGGGAATAAAATGTAGGACCCACAGATCATATTGATGTGGTTGTATAAACAAACAAACAATAAAAAAAAAAAGACAAAAGGGGTTTTGGGAAATAACCACAATTGTTGTAATTCTGAAACAGTGGGTCTTACAGGGTTAAGTAAGATTAAAATTTCTTTATAAAAGAAAACCTACAATGTTTTGTGTTTTTGCCTACATAGGAAAACAAACAGCCATCAAAAGAAGCTGGACCCCAGACGAGTGTGCTGCAGTGGACACATATTTGAGGAGATTTATTGTAAGGAATCAAGTTCCTGGTAAAGAAGAGTGTCAGCGCTGTATTACTGCAGAACCTCAAGCTCTCAGAAACAGAGACTGGAAAGCAGTTAAATATTATGTTAAAAATCGCATTACAGCCCTGAGAAGAAAAGTCTAGTGTGAAAGCACCTAATGGAACTGAGGTAAAACCAAAACATTAGAGGTAGGATCTTAAAATGTTTTGTCTTTGGTTGTGTTCTGTTGTAACCTTGTTGTTGTTGTTGTTGTTGTTGTTGTAGGGGTTTGCTCAGGTTTTATGGCTGTCCATTGGCCAACAAATATACACATTTCACAGATCTTATTTAATTTTTTTTATTTGATGGATGTAGGATGGATGTTCGAGAGATGAATGGATGTAGGATAGATGATTGATGTTTGATGGATGTAGGGTAGATGATGGATGGATGGATGTTGACCGGATGGATGGATGGATCTTGAATAGATGATGGATGGAGGGAGGATGGATGGAGGGAGGATGGAGGGAGGATGGATGGAGGGAGGATGGATGGATGGATGTTGACCAGATGATGGATGGATGGATGGA